TATATATATATATATATATATATATATATATATATATATATATATATATATATATATATATATATATATATATATCTGGAACGTTTTTATATACCTTTGGATGAGTGACTCTAACGTCGCGAAATTCCTCGGTGAACGTCAAAATGTACACGCAGAATGCCACCGCGCACAGCCATTCGGTGATGGTGCTGGCCACGTGCAACTCCCATCCGCCATCTTCCTTGTACCATTTTCGCGGATTCGTACCTAGAAACGGACACGCGACGTCAACACGTGAAGGAAGAGCGTGCCAGAGAGAGAGGGAAACGCAACGAACCAACCCTTATAGGCCAAGCGTGCCAGCACGCCGGTGATGAGAGTTATGACGAAACAAACGGTGCAAAACGTGGACAGTGCAGCTCGAAGATGCGCCAGTCTCAACGAACATCCGAGCGGATGCAGGTAGAACGAGCACACCGCCTGAGGGCAAAACGTGCAGAGAGAGAGTGTGAAAAATGGGACACTGTTCTCAGACAATGCGATAAATCAGCTTTTCTGGAAATTACGCAAGTCACGTAATCATCAGACTTCGTTCGGCACGATCCAATTACGCGACACTGGCGTTTCGTCCACCTTCTTTTAGCCGATTTTAATTTTCGTTTCGCCGTCGTGAAAACGAATATTAAAAAAGGCATTAAATTTCGCGGTTGGATTAATTTGAGAAAACTCGGGTCGTACCTGCGTCCAAAAGTATGCAGTTCCGCCGCCGAAGCATAAAAGAGCGCCAATAAAGTGAACCACGATCACGGAGGTCTCCTGAAAGTTTGCGACCATCGAGAGGCCAAAAGTCGACGTTAGGCCAAAAATTAAGGCCCAATAATTCCATTTTGGTAGTGATTGCTGCAGGCTGAACGTACTCGAACATTCTTTCACTTGAGAATACCTTATGTAGACGACGAACGACACTGAAACAATTCGATAAAATTGTCAATACGACACTGCCCAACGTTCTGCCCTCGATATTTTCTAATCGTCTCTTTGGAAATTTAGATCTCTCTCTTTTTAATTTAACGTTTCGTTTCTAACATTGGGAAATGCCGAGGTGTCGATCGATTCCTCTTGCCGCGTGAAAATTGAAATACGCAATCGTCGATGCGCACTTACTCAGCATCGCGATCATGTTGATGAACTGGGCAAATATGCAGCTTTCCGGTGCATAGGTGGCTGCATCCGAGATGTAGGGAAAGCCAGCTTCCACGTGACCCAACAGAACAGCTATTACGTAACTGAAAAGCACAAACGACTTTGCACTCTTTCATAATTATGAATATTTATCTACAAATTTTTTTAATGAAAACACTTGCTGAAAAGTTACACGTGTTTCATTGGACGCAACAACATGATAAGATATGACAAATATCAAGCCTCATCACTTTGGTTTGGCTTTCTGTCGGCTGAAACGAAGAAGGATTGATTATAAATGTAACTAGTCTATCTGCATATTCAGCAGGATGCAAAGCAACTCGAATAAACGAGAATTATGATTCAGCAGATGCTAATTTGATGTATTATCTGCTTACGTTACGACATGAGACCGGTGTCTATATATATATATTTTTTTTTTTGGATTAGACAATTTAATTTCACGAACTGTTCAAGTTACAATATCGTAAGAACATAGATTGGTGCAATTTTCTACGGAGAATGCTTTGCGCTTTGTGCCGTGCACACAGTTACACGTGGCGCGTCGAAACTGAAAGAAAAAAAGGAACCGTTGAATCTAAATTAAGCAAAACCGTCAGCACATAAACGAAAATTCATTCGTTCTACGATATCTAAAGAACAACTAGAAACACAATACAACGCTGCAACAAACGCTGCGAGTTATTTCACCAGGAGTCTAAAGTGAACAGAATTGACGGTGAGGCGAAAATTGTGCGAAGTAACTAGAAATAAGAACAAACAAGAAACAACGATGTTTCAACGAACAAGAGAACAGCAGCTGAACCAAACATAGTATGAGTAACTTTGCTTACGTCAAAATGAAGACAGAAGGCAACGAAATGAAGAGGATTATCGGCAGATAATGGAGGTTGACCAGGAAGTCTTCCTTGTCCATGTTTCCAGTGTGCGTTTGTGGTTGCTATCGGCTTTCCCGCCGGAACCAGTGACGTCAGGCGACGACGTCCGCAGACGACGCCGCTATCGTCGAGACACACGCGTCGTTGCACGCGTCCACGAGCTGCCAGCACTCATGCTCGTCCGTCTTATTCTACTCGCGTCCCCGGGGAAGCGGGAATCCGCCGCTACGATCAGTGGAACATCGACTGCACTGCAGTTCGGCTGCCATTAATGTACCTTCGGTCAAGAGGTAACAATCTGTCACGTGGCAACCGAGCACCAAACTGTTACCGTCCTCGAAATGTCGTTGTCTCTACGAACGTCTCAACTACAACGTCTATATTTGTTTAGAGAGTTTTCTTCGTGGAGAGTAAGAGATTTGCAGCTCAGAGAAAGTCCGTCGTGTCGTCAGCATGTGATTGTATTCAAATGTCGGGAAAATTTGTCGCAGCAAACTCTGCTTCGTATTACGCGTGATAGAACCACAGAGCTAGACCAGAAGCTGCGCGCCAGAAATATCATACGCGACTTCTCATTGTCCGTGGCACACGTCACCGCGAAAATGTTCGAGAAAGACGACGCATTACCAGACTCGCGTGCACACGGTCTCGACGTTAAGTCGTGCGAATATTCTCACGCGGGCGTTGTCTAGGAGCAGAGGAAAGGGAACTCTCGCGAGGAAACCTTACGTAGCAACGACACTCGAGAACAGTCGATTTTTCCAACACTCGACAAACGAGTTTACCTTTGACCTTTGTCGTTGTCTCGACGAACCTTTTTCACGTTCCCTCGATTTCTGGTTGCACCGAAGCTGGTAGCTCCTTTGGAGAAGGATCGTGCACAAGGCCGAAATAGGTCTTCTCAGCGCACCCAACAACAGCCGGACACTCTTCACGCTATTCTCGCGATGACACGCAACGAAAGAAACGCGAAATTCCTCGTGGCTCCTTCTTGTTTCTCTCTTTCGTTCTCGAGTCTCGTGCAAACACGCTCTTCGCAAACACGCGATGGATTCTCGAGCTGGCGCTCGAGAGGGGCTAGGGTGCAGAAACGAGCGAGCAGAAACACAGAGGTTATGGCCGACTACGTGCGCGATCGATGTTTTGCCAGCGAGAACGGCGCTCTCAGCAGCTGCGCCGCGAGACTGACGCCGCCGTCGTTACTGACACACGTTCGCCAAGATACGATTTATCCTGATGCTCTGTCCGCGATAATGCACGTTCGCGAAAGCGCTTATCGGTATCGGCAGCTTACCTAGATAATCGGTTTCGTTTTACGACTGCCCGTGGATTTCCTCCAACTTTACGACACTGCAAGTTCTTTCCAGGTCAAACGCGTAACAGCCGCAAAATATTCGCATAGCGACCGAATACATCGAGAGGGGAATTCCTTGAACACGTTAGCGTGATCGGAAATGCACGCTTCGTTTCTCGATGAGAATCGATTCGAAGCAAAACGCGCGACATTTGTCTTTTTCTTTTTTTTTTTTTTTTTTTAAATAAAAATCTCGTTCGTAAGTAATCGTGGATTAAATGCCAGAAATAGAAAGATAAATTTGAAGTCTTGATTCGAGGATTTTTAAATTTAGTTTAGGTATTTGTCAATCGATAGTCGACAACGTTACGACGTCCTTGTACCAACTTTAGCCGCATTTGTGCAAAATCGTTCGAAGTAACGATGGATCGAGCGAGTAGGAAGATAAGTCACGTTCGTCTCTGAAAGAGTGCTCTTTCGTACGCGATTGTTTGAACGGTAAATCTCGCTGGGTGATAGCGTAAATATGGTGATCACGGGTTTCAACGTTGACTCGCGCCTCGCTTTCGCAAATTTGGAAACCGATTTGCACGTTTGAGAGGCGGAACAGCTTCGCCGGGGATTGCCGCTTCACGCGGCGGGTTTTATCGACCGCAGGAACAACGAAACGTCGGCATCTGTTGGCAACGGGAGCGCGAATCGAGGTAAAGCGTTCAGCCGGAGTGACGCTCGAAATACACGTGTATATATTTCAACCAAAAACAGAACTAAGCGGAAGATTGCGATTGCGCGAGCAATTCAAAGGAATTTAAAAACGGTGTTGAGAGATTAATTAGAGAATAATATTACTAGAAATTATAGTTTTAAATGCATACGTTAGAAGGAACATAATTTAATGATTAACTGGCGCTCGATCGTCCGAGGGATTTTAACATTCTTGAACTTGCGGGCTTAGTTTGCGCGACAGTTTCGTGTCCTGATCCTTGTCTAGATAGATCAACTGAAAACAAGAAGATCCACGAGTCATTGCGAAGTGATTTTAACGTCGATTAACACAGTTGATCGCCGAATGCTTACTGCAATCTCAATCACTTACTCGTTAGATAACTCCTGTTGTTTTTATGCTTCTTTTTCAGGTTTTCGTTTTCTATTCTTTTTGTTACGTTTATGACACGCACGTGCTTTAGCGTTGCCTTATCAGATTTTATACATTTTTTGCATACCTCAAGTATGTGCTATTTAGAGAATTTGCGAACGAGGATTTGCTCCTAAATCTCAGTTGGTTTTGTTTAAAATGTTCTCCAATACATACTTTACAAATAATTACTGTATTGTATTACGTATTTTTATGTAAATAAAGTAGTTATGACTTCTTCTCAAAATAATTTAATAGTTTGCTATATTGCTATATTTGATAATTTAATTTCCTTGATTTACAAATAATATACTATTAAGAACTCATTTCTCTACTAAATATTATTATATTTTTTCTTGCCTTGAGATTGAAAAGTAAGATCGTCATCCACGTGTGAGTGACGCGGCGATCAACGTATTAAAACTTCAATGATTCATCGAACCACGTTGTTGAAAACAATGAGAAAACATAATGTAGTAAAAATACGATTTAGTGCGCGTTAACAATCCTAGGATGAAACGAACACTGTAACGATTCGTGAAAGCATTCGAGCACTTATCACTGAAAAGTTTATCACGCGTGGCTACGTCGGATTACGGTGTTAAGTCTAGCGATTGAAATGAACATGTACATACTTCTGCAAGCCGATTATACATACGTCGAGCGTAATATTAGAAGAAAAGAGAGTACCGTGACCACAGGATCCTCGAAGTTGATCAACCGAAATTCCGGCACGAACGTTAACAGGAAAACGCAGTAGACAATTGCCAGAAGCCACTCGGAAATGGTGCTAGCGACGTGCCAGCCCCAGCCACCGTCCGTTGGTAGCCATTTTTTGTAATCGTTGCCTGCCAGTGACATGAACCTCGAGTTATTACGCATTGTCGTTCTCTGTTCGTACATTACAGTGTAAGGTAAGGTAACAATGTTACCCGTTTAGGCGGAGAAATGTTACCTTGGAACTCTAACATTGAAATGTAGCCAGCTAAGATCGTGGTAATTGTTAAAATTAGCGTCAACACTGAGAGCGCTGCGCGAATGTACACGACCACTCTGCCATTTACTGCTGGTACCATTTTGCGACTCAGGTATGTCTGAAAAAGCATCAAAATTCCTTTCTCCTATGCAAAATTTAAGAAGCAGGCGACACGATTTTCGATATATAGTGGATAGAATCTATCAACGCGTTTGAAATCGATCGTACTTGGAGGCAAAAGTAAATGGTCCCCGCCGTGAAACACGTCATTGCCCCGATCATGTGAGCCGCGACGACGCGAGCTTCTTGAAAATTGGCCAGAATGTCGAGTCCGAAGCAGGACAGGATGCCGCACCAGGCCGTCACAACAACGATCCTCTTGCTAACGAGATCGTTGCCCCTTTCGAATTGCCATTGGGAAACTTGCCGATGTCTGATGTAGACGCAACAGGCGACTGAAACACACGCGCGATTGTCGTTAGTCACCGGGTAGACGAGTTTTACGTTTCGGCAAGTAAAATTTGTCAATAATTTACGGAGCAATGCGGCTATGTTAAGGAATTGGGCAAATATACACGATTCCGGGGACAAGGTGCCTGTTTCCGATATGTACGGGAATCCTGGTACCACGTGGTCCCACTGCACCGATATGGTGTACCTGAAACCCAATTGATATGAAAACGGATACGTCCGTGTTATATTTGATTACATGTACAGGCTGGCTCTGAATATCTTTTCGATTTGCGATGATACAAAGAATATTTTTTAACATGACACGAATGGTATCCAAAACGCCAATAACTGGTAAGAATATTTTTTTCAAGGACTTTTTTTAAGGTCATTGATGTCTTTTCTCATGTAACTGTTTCTATTCTATTGTATCGTGTAGCTGGTAAAAAAATACGTGCAGACATGTAAAGTTATGTGAAAAAGAAACATCGGTGACTTTAGAAGAGTTCTTGAAAAAAAGTATTCTTACCAGTTATTAGCCTTTTGCGTTAGACAAACAATATTGTTTGTATCATCACAGTTCGAAAATATATTTAGGTGATTTAAATGAACCATCCTATATGTAGAATGTTGATTTAAAGAGAGCATTACGTAAAGTTTATTTGCTGCGTAAACGATTGAAATGAACTTTGTACGTTACGATTCTAAAATCATGGGAAATAATAATGAAATGCAAAATAAAAAAAAAAATTATAAGTGGTATAACCATTCGCGTAGAAATCTTTGTACAGTCTGCGTAGAGAGTATTTCGTTATTAAGATGGAGGTATACAAAATTTTACTACGGAACTGATAATCGAGAACCGATTAAGAAATGAATTTCGCCAGAATTTTTCCCCAACCAAAAGAAACGCTTTAAGCACAGTTAATAACATACTGCTTTTCGATGTAGCGAATTATTCAATGGCTCATCCACGATTGAAAGCAGCCATATTTACAGAACAACGATCCACGCGAAGAGTACACAGCGAGGCATAATGAATCAAACTAACCGCGATTTACATCGTGCTGTCAGAAACAGAATACATGGCTGTTTCTGATACCGTGGCCTTGATCAATCGTAAAACTAGTCGGCGAGCATTAATTCTCCTCGCTTCGACTATGGTTTCAGTTTCGCTGCGAACCATATTCGGCAACCATATTTTCAACGAACCTTGTCCACGAGTAAAATTCTCTAAATTCTGTTTCTCTTTTTCTTTTTTATTAACCCTTTGTGTTGCCCTATCTTGAAACATCGAAAATGTTTTTCTCGACTGGGACTAAAAATAACATTTGAAGTAGAAAGAAATTCGAAGATGGCAACAGCGTTACACCGTGACGTTGAAGAAATTTTAAGGATTTGTGTAAAATTTTTTTTTCACAAAATTTAAAAATTATCGTAGATGGATTTAACGAAATAGAAGCAATGTACTTGATAGTAGGTTTTAATAGCTCTCCGAACGTTTAACGCAATTCGAGACGAAGAGAAAATTATTTAACCCCGGAATGCAGTTTCTTCGCTGGGTTTTTGCTTTGACAGACTTACGTAATTAGAAACGTCACCGGGATCAGGATAAAAAGGCTCAATGGGAGAACGTGCAACTTTCCGTACGGCATTCTCGTGTTTGTTCCTTCCAAGATTCTGAAAAATATCGTGTCCTTTGTAAAACAATACTGTCGCAATTCAGATGTCTCGGTTCTCGCGAATAACATTCCAGGTGTCTCGATTCTCGGTTGACTAATGTAATAAAATCGATATTTCAAGCTGAATTATAATAATCCAATATCACAGCAACAGTACTACCAATTAGAACGACCAATTAGAACCGTCATTTTCGGATCATTCGACATTCAGTTGAATCACAGTTGATTTATTTCTCTTTTTCTCAAAGAAAAAAGTCTGACGTCTTACCTCGACGATATAACTGGATCCCTGAAACGATTTTTTTAGCAGAAAAGGTGGCACTGGGGCTACGCCAAGGGGGCACACCTTCATGGGGCGCCTTGGAGCGACTGTCCATCAGCGCTGTTAACATACCTCTGGTCCTACGCAATCTAACGAACACCGATTAACGCACACGATCACATTGTGCATGGCAATTAACGCACGGGTCTGGTCCCATTCTCAATCAAGTCTCTCTGCTTTTCATACAAATCGATCGATGTTGCTCTTCGAGCAATGCCGTTCGAAATTCTTTCAATCGCCACACGTGTGTTTTATTCCGGATCCTTTTAACATTTTCGATTTAGATTTGATCTATATGTATAGAAAAAATAGTATAGCTTGCATTCTGCTGAAAAGCATCGCCGATACTGGCCGTGTGTGTGTGGTTTTTATATTTCATAATTCGTGATTTTGCCTTTTCAACTTTCTCAGAGAGTGTCGTTGTAGATAAATAATTATGCAGAGCTCAAATGTGATTTGTTAGCGGCACGAGCAGATCGAACTAGAATTTATCGATAAAGCGTTGCTGGGTACATACCGAGCCATCGTTCGATAACTCTCGCATGCCAATGCACGTAACAAACGTTCGACTGTTGGCTACCAAGAATTTGTAATTAACGTCGCATTATCGGCGTTACGCACACCGGTGTCGTAATGGAACATTCGATGGTTCTGTTCGAATTGCATAATTGATTTCCTTCCTCCACGCGCGCAACTCTCGCAATTGTAGCTGGAAATGAATGATATTTTTCTTCCCACTTCTTCCTCGATGGAACTTCTCGTTCCTCGAAGCCGGCTCTACTGGAGCAAATTATTTTTTAATGATGCATCATGAAATTGAAAGAACGCGGATGAACATTGCAACTTGAAGAAGTTAATTGCAGAAAGTAGGTTAACGAGGAAAATATTGACAGAACGATTGTGTGCGCACCGTGGAGAATTTAACTTGCTTGCACTCTGTTTGCATCAAGTATGAAATCTTTTTCCTCGTTTGTTTCCACTTTCGACATACAGGAATGAAAATGTGCACGAAGAGAGGCAAAAAAAAAAAAAAGAAGAAAAAAAGAAGAAAAGACGAAAACGAGGGGTACTTGATAAAATCAGATTTCTGTATTAACAACGTTACAATATTACAATATAGGCAGTTTGTTCGGTGTTGCTTCTTTTTGCTATGGCATGTAATAAACAGTAATTTGTAAATTATTGTTCTTTCGCGTCGTTCGTACGACGCGTTCGACTAGCAGCCTTCCGTTATCATCGTGATAACGTCGTAATGCAACAAACGTAACTAACGCGACGCGGGCAAGTGTGTCGGATCGTTGAAATGACGTCTTGTTAAAAACAATCTCTGACTGGTTCTTATTTTGATATTAAATGTTTATCAGGCTTTTCGTTTGTCAATAACCCGTCAAGGACCAGATAATAAAATGATACGTAAAAATTGCAGCATTATTGGAATAATAGGTACTTTGCTTAAGAAAATAAACCAATTATGTAGATTACAGAGAAAATTTGTAACGTGACTGCAATGTTAGAAAATAGAATGTATTAACTTGAATCGAGAAAAAAGTTGTATTGACGCAACGTTGACCATTAACGGGTCAACATCGTTTTTTGAACAAAATTATCGTGTTGAAATATTACACGTTATTGTAACGCCAGCCTGGCTTCGACATCCGGTTGGCTTGGAATTGTTTTTAATCAACTATCTCGGAACATCTGACTCGTAATCTGCATTATAATACCGCACGCGTGTGTATACGCTTATTATTACGAATATAAACGTCTATGTGTGTGTGTGTGTGTGTGTGTGTGTGTGTGTGTGTGTGTGCGTGCGCGCGCGCGCGCGCGCGTGTGTATATGTATGTACATGGCATGCGTATGTATAATTCTAATATAAATAGTTTGATAAATAAATAACGTCGTTATCTCTTTGCGTTTATATCGATCGCGGTTTGCTCGACATCACAGAAAGAGAAACGCTGCACGCATGAAAATTCTTTTAAAACGTCTCGACCGATATAATGTATAACACAACGATATACTCTCACATATGTACTCTCACTATCCGTAGTATCGTTATACCATACCATTTGTCGCTGCATACGAATTTTCGTTTTGGACTAGTTTCAATATCTTTAGCTAGCATTGCCTACGTGTAAGAAGCGGTTTCCTTCCCGAAGAGGATAAATTCTAGGTAACGACTTTTACATTCGCAGTCGATCGATCGATCTTCCCTTCGTTTCCTGAATGATCGGCAAAAGTCAGTTTTTTTTTTTTTTTTTTTTTTTTTGTAAAATTTGTTTACCAAGAAATTTTAATTTTCTATTGAAGCTTTTCGTTTAAACGTACTTCGATCTTTTTTTCTTTTTTCTTTCTTTTGTTGGACGAAAGATCGTTCAATCAGTGCATCTACGCGTGGCAGTGAACTAGCACGAAGCTTAAACAAAGACGTCGACGCGAGTCGAGGCTATTTCCATGTGGACGGAACGTTTCCGTGGTTCCTCTCGTCGAAAGCCGACGTTATTGTCCTTAATTGCACCCGCGTTCCCACATCCTCGCAAGGACGTTCCACGCTGTCCAGGTTGACGCGTCACTATTCGCTAAACTATCGCTAACACGATCTCTAACAGTATCTTAAATCATAGAGGAACAAACGAGACAGACGATCGAAGGCAGCGCATTAACGAGAAACGTCAGCCTCTTACAATTAGATAACCCTCCCACTTTTTCTAGGAACTCGGTTCGTTCTTTCTTTTCGATTCTCGAGCCTCCCGTTCACATTGCATAACAATTACGTAATAACATCCATTCGTTTTTTCTTTTGCTATTGCCCTCAATGCGTTACTTCCAACAAAATTCGTAAAACACTCATTTTTGACTTATATACCGACCTCGCTTGTACCGACAGTGAACGATCGAAGTGAAAACGTGCCAAGACGGGTCTGCTTCTTATTGTACTGAAAATTACAGCACGGCTCGAAGGAAAGTAAATGATTCAAGCATTCGTCTACGAATCGTACAAGTTCATTCGGAAGCACTTATTAACACAGAGAGTGTTGACAGTTTCCTGGAGTTACGTGCTTGCCTCGTCAATCACTGTGATGACCCTATTAGCAGGAGGCACATTAGTCACATGCCATTTGGTCTTGGCATCGGTCTCCTCGTTACTCGATTGAGGCCCCGATGGCCGATCCAAATTCGATTGGCCGCCCTTCGAACGCGCCAGAGACCACCTTCGACCCCGGCGATCCGTGATTATCGGCATTTCCGCTATCAGATTGTTCTCGAACTCCGACAGCATTAGATAGTTCTCGACCTTGTTGCACGACGTGATGCAGTCGCCGATGTAATCGAGGTCCTCGAGCATGTTGTCAGGAAGATCCATGTCCGCGATTCCTTCCTCGGAGATGCACGTCAATTCGGGCTTCTCCGGAGCGAGGCCATCGATCAATTCACCTGCAACGAGATGTCGAGATCTTCTTTCAGTCTCTCCTCGATCGGTCGCGATTGAAATTTAAATTTTGCGTCGAATTTCAATTTTCAATCTGAAATTTTTTGAGAAAGAAAGAGAGAGGGATTAATCTAATTCACCTGGATTCGGCACGATTTCAGCACCGAGCACGAGAGCAGCCGCGGCTGCGCCAGCGGCAGCCACGTGCGGGCCGTCGTTCTCTGGTTCCTGGCTGAACGACAACTTCCGTCGTTGTGGACAGTTGTTCGAAACGCAGAGATGCTTGGTCCCATTGGACCGTGTGTGCTTGTGCCTCGATAAATTTCTTCTGTGGAGGTCTATGAAGAACAGAGTGAAACTGCCTACCAGAACGCACGTCGAGCTGAAGTAGTAACCCGCCTTCCCGCCATAGTTGATGTTCATGTATCCTGCAAAATATATATTTATATTACTTAATATAATCAATATCGATTTATGTTAATATAATATTATAATAATTATTATTTAATGTAACAATTAATATAATATAAGTAATTAAATATTATATAATTATATTTGCGATTCTGAAAATTCACCTGAAATTGGAACTCCGATCGCTATCGGTATAGCTTGGGAACATTGCACGAAACCCCACGTTCTTGCAAAGTTTCTTGCTCTGACTCTCTCGTAGGTGTACATTTTGAGACTGTAGTGGTAACCACCGCAGAAGATGCCTGCGGGATCAAATGGAATTTGTAATTAAAGGACGATAGCTAAGAATATTGTGTGAGAGAGAGAGAGAGAGAGAGAGAGAGAAATATTCTCTGAAAAATATTCACGCACGTTTGTCGCGGAGTGTACTGTACCGTAAATCCAGGCGAACAACACGTATCCGTGATAATTTCCTTGAACGGCGGTGAGGGCCAGAATGCACAACCCGCATACAAATATCGCCGCTTGCGTAAGATACTGACGCGCTATCCTGCACTCGACGCTGCGATGCACAACCAAAAGGCCGAATGCAACGCAGCCGAGGGTCCAGGCCAAGCCGAGATAAGCTTGAAGCAGGATCACCGTGTCACCGAGACCTTCTTCTTCAGCCTGATGTGCCTGCGAAACGAATCAAATGAAACGCGTGACCTCAATTCGGATAGAAGCTGTTTCTTCTACTACCAAGTGGGAACGTCACTTTACCAAGTAAAATATCGGGGTGTTGATCCCGAAGGCGGATATTCCGGTGGAGACCAACAGTATTCTCACGGTTTTGCTCTTCAGCGTGCTGAAGTCGAAGAACGGTGGCCCGTCGTCCGTCTTGTTCTTGTCTTTAATTTTGCGTTTCTGATTCTTCAAGTGCAGGATGGCTCGGCGTTGCGGATGGTACAGGGACGCGCTTCGATAAAACGTACCCAAGATGAACGTCAGGAAAACCACGCCCGTCACTGCCTGAAGGCCCAAGCGCCAACCGATTTTGCTAAAGTGCAACGACAAATCTATGAAATCGAACGCGTAGTCTCGCGCGATCGAGCTGCAACGAGAATATTGTCTGTCTCGTTACCTGATCATTCCTTTTATGAAAGCCGACATGACAGCGATGCCGAGGCCACTTCCGGACACGATGAAAATCTCGACCAGTTCCCTTCGCCTCTTGAAATACTGCGCTACCATTAGCGTGCTACAGTCCCTCGTCATGCCAACCCCTATACCTGCGTGAAGTAATTAAAAACGGTCCATCAACTTGCCATTATCTTGCCAATCTCTTAACGTTTCGTTCGGAAAGTGAAGTTTTATCCAAGGAATTATTCAAGAGAATTCCTTCGAAATTGAAAGAGGGTGAAAGTGACGTAGGCGAAACTTGTAACGATCAAGCCCTAATTACTCGGTGGGGAAAGATAAATGACTAAGAAACGATCCATACATTACAGAGTAACGCTTCGCTTTCTTCTGCGAGGTTAAGGTGGAAATAAAAGGATTCATTGTATTTTTTTTTTTTTCCAGTGACTCACCGACAACTGTGCCGTAACTGAAGAACAACTGGTGGAACTGCGAGGCGAAGGAAGTGAAAAGGCAACCGAGCGCTGTAACCAGGCCACCCAAAACCGCGGTGAGTCTTGTACTTTTCCTCCGACAAAACGCTATTGTTACCGGTGAAACTAGCAGAGCCACTCCCGTCGACATCGCTCCCAGCCACCCTATAAACAGACGAAACTTTCTTAATCGCCTTTTGATCGCTGAAAAGATGTTGTCTGGTTCGTACCGTAACTTTGTACGTTCAAGTTCATCAAATAGCCATGTACAGGGTGAAGGAAAGAAATGAACTTTGAATTTCAAGGTCAAAAAAATTTTTTTTTTCATTGTAATCACAAGGTAAAACTTTTTCGAGGAACCTAATAGTTTTTTTTAAAAATGGCAAGAAAGTTTCTCAATCATTTAATACTATGGACGCGTGAGTGCTAACAACGACTTTATTCATAGTTTTGGACGCGTGGATGTCTATTTTACGTAATTTTTGTATCATTAGATTTCACTAACATTTGATTTATTATTATTGTTGAAACATCAGTGTGAATCTAAATAATCAAATGATAAAATTAACTGTGATATTCGAAACATAACCGTCACATAATATAAATATCCACGTGTTCAGCATACCATAAAGTCGCTGTTAGTACGCATGCGTCTGCAATGATTAAGAAACTTTTTTGCCATTTTTCAAGAGAATCATTAGGTTATGACCTATGGTTCTTGGTAAAAGTTTTACCTTCGTGATGAATATAATAAAAGAAAATTTTGACCTTAAAATTCAAGGTCAAATCGAAGGTGTAAAAGATGTTATTCATCTATGATAGACGAATTTTTCTTTCCACCCTGTACGTACTTCATTTCTGCAACTTTATGGGACGAATGATAAAAGTATTTCGAAACGTTCCAAAGCTAGAGAAATTGAGATCTCTAAAAAAAACTAAGATCAGCATGAACTGAAATACGAATATTCCGCCGCTGTATATAAAACGATTCACTTTCATCACTGCTCGTTGATGGATGGATGCTTGCACCTTTCGTCTCCGTCCCTTTTTCACACCGATCGACAGATTTTCCCAAAGGAACTGTCTCTTTCTGATTGATGAGAGGAGTTAGCGAATGAGATGTCACTAGATATTAATCGAACGTTTCGTAAAAAGCTGCTGCCAAAGTAAATCTTTCAATCTTCGCGAAAACTCGATTCAATCGAAATCGAGTAGCTCGTGCGTCGAAATTGATACTTGACTGGCTACTAATTCAAACGATTTTATAATATACCGACGATTATGAACAGTACCGCGTACCGCTGTGACTAACAAGACAATCTCGAGTTAATCGAGTCAAGCTGCACACGATCGAACGTGGTTTGATTCGCGCGCCTTGTCCTCGTTCACCGATATTGAAATTCTCTCGAGCTTCATCCGCGCCGTTCGACATTACGATTTATGCGTTTCGTACGCGGTTATGGATTCGAGTTTCACCGCTCGACGATCGATCCTTATACATTTCACCTTCATGGCTCGCAGTCATAATAAACGCTTCGCGTTCCCGGAGTTCTCGTCAATTAGAGCGGTATCGCGGCATGATCGATACTCGCTGTTTCGTGCTAGTCACCGTCTTTCCTCCTCCTTGCTCAATCGGTTATACCGTTAATAGATCGAGAATGATAAATCAATCCCGCGCCACTTTTCTCTAGTCGGTTCTAGTTCGCTCCGAAACGGTCGCGAACGATCGTCCCGACGATCGTTCTTCCCTGGGCTGCGCGCTCGTTCTCTTTTACTGCAGCCGATCCTTCTTCTCAAGACCTATTAAACAGCGGTTGCTACAACAGTTGCTAAACAGCGGTTCGACTCTCGATCCAGGTTAAGACTGTTTCAATTACGTCCAATGATTAGCAACGCTCATCGCTCGGGCCGTTTAATTAATTTTCACCGTTGGTACGATCGAGGCGGCGGACGAAGTCGGCTCGATGTCGGCTCATCGATCAATCGAAGAACGCCGTCCATCGAACGTAGGAGATTGGTGCCAATGCTCGTAGACAAAAGGCTATCCCGAAGGATGAAAGGAGAGGTTATTAATCTTGGAAGCTCGGTCGCTCTCGACCGTCACCGATGCAGTCTCCATTGAGAAACTGGACTGGCGTGTTGCTCCATCGACTTTGATTCGACAGCTTTGTCCTCGGTGCCTTTGGTGCAGGTGAATCGCGATTTTTGAGAAACTTTCTTCGGGTACTTGTGCTCGAGTGGTGTTTTTCTTTTCTTTTTTCTTTCCTCAAACGTGAAAGGATTCTGGATTTTTTTTTTTTTTTTTTTTTTTTTTTGTTTTTGAGTCTGTAGATCTTTACTTGTTTGACCTTTTACTTGTTTGTAATTTGAAGGAAGAAACGTTAGATTGGGTGGAATATGAAACGAAAGAAAATGTAATAGTGTAGAAAGCAAGGGGATTCATCCCTCGCCTGTGTATCTCAAGAAAGACGTCCACTGCACGACATTGTCTCAATTATTACCGTCTCCATTTTCGCGGTTCTTTATCAGCCCTCTCATCGGTCAAGATTAGGGTTCCTCCTCTATCGAAGAGCCCATCGTTTCACCCTTGAAGTTCCTCTGAAGCCAGAAAACGAACGAGAGGGAGAGTGAATTGGCGAAACAGAAGGTCAATGACCGCGCAGATCGTAAGCCCGTTTTCATAACGACTCCATCCAAATGGGAAGCCCGAAATTTCGGTCAAGTATAAAATATATATAATCAGAGATCCATACAACTATCGTTCGCCAAAGTTAGAATACTCTATTGCATAGCTTTCTGTAATATTCTTCAACCTCACCAGACTAAGTTATTTAAAATTAATAACCTAGACTCTTTCTTGAAAATATTACTTTTTCTCCTCTTGATTTATAACGTGGATTATTTCTTGAAAATATTACTTTTTTCCCCTTTGATCGTCATTGTTGGAGAATTCCATAATTTTTTATATAATATTCTTGAACCCCAGAGAACGTTATTTAAAATTAATAACCTAGACTCTTTCTTGAAAATATTATTTTTTCTCTTCTTGATCGTCATCGTTGGCGAATTCCATAATTTTTTATATAATATTCTTCAAACTCTCAATATTAAGTTATTTAAAATTAATAACGTGGATTATTTCTTGAAAATATTACTTTTTCTCCCCTTGATCGTCATTGTTGGAGAATTCCATCATTTTTTATATAATATTCTTCAAACTCTCAATACTAAGTTATTTAAAATTAATAACGTGGATTATTTCTTGAAAATATTTTTTCTCCTCTTGATCATCATCATTGTAGAATTCCATAATTTTTCAGATAATGTTCTTCAAACTCTCAATACTAAGTTATTTAAAATTAATAACCTAGATTCTTTCTTGAAAATATTACTTTTTCTCCTCTTGATCATTATCGTTGTAGAATTCCATAATTTTTCAGATAATATTCTTCAAACTCGCAAAAGTAAGTTACTTAAAATTAATAATCTAGATTCTTTCTTGAAAATACTATTTTTTCCCTCTGTTGATCGTTATCCGGGAGCGCCGAGAAATAAGTGTCGGCGTGTCGTGTCGGAATGTGCTTCGTTTCTAAACAAAGATGCTCGTAAACGAGCGGCAAAAAGGAAAAGTGGAGCCATTAATGATTCGAGACGGCGTACTAGAACAGAGGGCAAAAGACGAGGAGACAGAGGGCTCCGAGAAAATAAGTCAGACGAAAATTAGTTTTGCGACGGCGACATTAACGCGACGACAGTCGTAATATCAGAACCAATTCTGAATAAACACGATCGTCTCAACCTCTTAATCTAACAACGCTCGGTGCGCGAAACATTCCTGGGACGGTTATAGCTATCGTTTCACAGGAACGAAATCGTTTCTTTTCTTTCGGTCGCATGAAATATTCAAACGATATACACTCGATGCTTTCGTACCGTTCTCAAATCGAGTCCAACTTGTCAGAGTTTCTCCGTTTGCCGCTGACTGCGCGCGATAAATTTTCGATAAAAATCCCAGGTCGAGAACATGTGGACCACAGGGGAATATCGGGCACATTCGTATTCTCCCGGTGGATTTTGATACGACAGGTTGATAAATATCAATAATCCGCGCGCGTGGGACTGATGATTTAGGAACGTGCGATAAATTAGGATGGATGACTCTTCTAGAAACTCGAAACGTCGAATATATAACGTTTTTAGAATAACTTCATTGTATACTTTTACGACGAGTCACGATAGTTTTTATTTTTAAACAGCTGTGTGTCTTTCTTTCTCTTTCTCTCTCTCGTAAGTAGTAAAAGTTTCTCTTTCTATTTTTCAATAGTCTGCGATTTGTCACTTTAATTTGGTGTATATTTAAAACCAGTGAAGTTCCTCTTCGTTCTAAAATTGTTCCGACCGTTTATTTCAGCTGTAACGTTTCATATAAATTTTCAAAGACATTGAGTCGAGACAAACGTATTCTAAATTAAAATTAACGTATTCTAAATTAAAAAAACGTATTCTAAATATTTTTAACATTAAAATGAGTATAAAATTCTATACGAGCGTGCACGTTTTATCGAACAATTTGGCAACGAAGATGCCGAGCATACAGGTTTTCGACGTTGACATTAGAAAATAGGATCGTACCTACGTTGAAAACGGGTTGACGATATCGTTTCGTTCCTTCCAACAGCAACCACGTCCCGGCAGCCCCGTGAATTCCGGTGGCTAGAATTCGCGCCATAACGCCGGTTACCACGACCACCCAACCCCAACCACTCTCCGGATAGTAATGCTGCCTTATGGTGCACCGTGCGATGTATCTACGCCGCGTGAAAAACAGCCACAATGAGAACACTGGAGGCTTCTTTCGACTCATGGTCGCCCAGAATTTTACATCTTTTGCGTCATTCGACGAATGATAATTGCGGACGAGGAGACATTCAAATTGATTTTTGTTAGTTAATTGGCGTAGGTAGAGCGTAGGAGGTAGAGCGTAGGATGTAATAAATTATACTCGAAACAAAAAAAAAAAAAAAAGAATGGACGGTCGATTGCGTGAGGTCAGACCTAGGATCTCGATTTTCATCTTCCTCGATTCTCTCTGGACTTCTTGGCTCTTGCGGACAAACGACTCCCTCGCACTCCCCCGAGAAGGAAAGTTCACCTATTTCACCGGA